TCCTGCCTCAGCCTCCCAAGTAGCTGGGATTATAGGGACCCACCAACATGCCCAACTAATTTTTGTATTTTTAGTGGAGACGGGGTTTCACCATGTTGACCAGGATGGTCTCAATCTCTTGACCTCGTGATCCACCCACCTCGGCCTCCCAAAGTGCTGTGATTACAGGCTTGAGCCACCGCGCCCGGCCCCACATGTTCTTTATCTCTGAATGTATTCTCTTGTTTAGGGGAATACCCAATGGCTTCCTGAGAAGGAATTCTTGGGAGATAAATTTCTGATACCTTAAATCTCTGAAAACATTTATATTCATTTATATAACTGATTATAATTTAGAACTTTTTAATCAGACTTTTGAAGCCTCTGTCTGCTTCATTCGGTTTTTGAGTTCAATGTCACTAAGACGTGTGAAACTTTTCTGATTCCTGGTCATTTGTATGAAGCTTTTGTTTTTTGTGTGTTTTGGGAGCCAGGAGTGGGAGGGTGAGGGTGGTAGGGCTGGTGCAGTGTTTCCCCTGAAGAACCTTGCACATCTTCTTCTTGTTTGCAGTGTCTTCAAGTATTATACTATTATACATTGATGTGGTCTATAATCGTCCATTATGCTAGGCAGTCTATAGGTCTTTTCATCTCAGTGAACTCATGCCCGTACACGTGGACATCCCAGACTACACTTCCAAGCTCCATCCCCATCCATGCTTCACATAAACAGGCTCCTCTCAGCCACCTGTAAGCACAGAGGTAGATACATAATTGTGTTTGAAGGTCTTTAGGATGACAAAAGCAGGAGAGGGGACAGCAAACCCTGGAAATGGGGTTGGGGTAGATTGTTCAGGGACTGACAGAACCTAGGATTTGGAATGTGGGTTTTTTTGTGTCTTGTTTGTTTTTGGTTAAGCTCAATGATATGATGGAATGTGTTCTTCAGGTTCTGAAGACTCCCCACTCAACACTGAAGAACACAGTTAAAGCAGGGTCTAGCAGGGGTTCTGCCTCCCTGAGATTCATGACAGGGTTTTTTTTAAAAGTCTTCCTCTCCATGTCCTGCATCAGTCTCTTCCAAGACCTTTTGTTTGTTGATCTTTAACATTCCTGTGATATTTGGTGATTCTTTTTTTTTTTTTTTTTTTTTTGGACGGAGTTTCACTCATGTTACCCAGGCTGGAGTGCAATGGCGCGATCTCGGCTCACCGCAACCTCCGCCTCCTGGGTTCAGGCAATTCTCCTGCCTCAGACTCCTGAGTAGCTGGGATTACAGGCATGCACCACCATGCCCAGCTAATTTTTTGTATTTTTAGTAGAGACGGGGTTTCACCATGTTGACCAGGATGGTCTCGATCTCTTGACCTCGTGATCCACCCACCTTGGCCTCCCAAAGTGCTGGGATTACAGGCTTGAGCCACAGCGCCCGGCCATATTTGGTGATTCTTTATTGTTAGCTCACATGGAAGTTGACAGGAGACTCTCTCAATGGGTAGGGTTCAATTACTGAGCTTCGCTGTAATGTGGTCTGGTTGTGCCATTTCATTGGATGCTAGTTCTAGATGTCAGTAAATTCCCCATAGAAGGATCTTCTATGTCTCTGGTTTGTAAGACTGGCTGACAGCATTCTGGAGGCCAGGTAAAGGAAGAGGAGAAGGAGGTTGCCACGTGAGTAAACATTTGATAACTCCCATTGTTACTGTTTTTGTTTTTTTGAGATGAAGTTTCGTTTTTTGCCCAGGCTGGAGTGAAGTGATGTGATCTCGGCTCCCTGCAACATCCGCCTCCTGGGTTTGAGTGATTTTCCTGCCTCAGCCTCCCAAGTAGCTGGGATTATAGGGACCCACCACACCTGGCTGATTTTTAGTAGAGACAGGGTTTTGTCATGTTGGTCAGGCTGGTCTCAAACTGCTCACCTGAGGTGATCTACCCACCTTGGCCTCCCAATGTCCTGGGATTACAGGCCTGAGCCACTGCACCCTGCCAACTCCCATTGTTTTAATTTTAGCACAAATCTCCCTTTTCTCCCTAGGCTACAGACCCTCAGCTTTACCTTCTCCAGAAAATAAACTTTTGTGTTTCTGATACAGTGGAAAAGAGATTCACTTGGCTACATAGAGTTGAGGAAGAGAGAGTGGGATTTAACTGTTCTTAAATGGACATTCAATCATGTTTGCATTTTTAAGCTCTGCTTTCACCTCCACTTCAGAAACATTGATATTATCATTTCCTGAACCTGTGGAATATCTGCCCATATGTGGGCATGTGTACATACAAGTGTGTGTGTAATGGTAAAAAAGTGGTCGCTCTTATATAAATCTCATTTCTTCTAATTTTAGGATTCAGCTTCCTTGGATCTTTTCACTTCCAAAAATGTAGAACTGTTTTCTCCTCTTTAATTATTTGTGTTTCGTTAGGTTTTATCATTATTGTTATTATTCCCGTCATTTTTACTTTAATGGAAATTTAAAAGAGAGAGAGTAAATGTTTGTGTTCAACTCTTCATCTTCATCAGAAAGCCCTAGTGCCTTACTAATGTTTCAGCAGTCCAGGGTGTAGGGATCCATGAGGCCCACACACTGGGTGCCAGAACGTAGGGAATCCATGAGCCCCACATTGGGCACCAGAATGTAGGGAGCCAGCCCTAATTACCCGTGGATACCCTGAGTTCAGTGGCGACAAAGAAATAAGAAAAAGACAGATTAAGAGAGACAGTAGGACCAGGGGACCATCACTTATTACTCTGGAGGAGGCAGTGAAGGCCCCAAGCTCTGATCATCCACACTATTGATTGATTATAATCATTTTGATCTATAGGGTGGGGTGGAGTGATGGTGGAGTGAATCAGTGAGCCGGAAGTGAATTAGTGAACCAGAACTGGTGTGTCATTCTAAGGATTGATAATAGTGGCAGTTTGGGAGTTTCACAAAATAAGAACATGTGGTTATCTTTAGCCTATTATCTACGTGCAGCTGATGGAACTCGGGCCTTACAAGGAGCCTACAAGTCTGGCTACATCATAGTGCTATGAAGGGGTTGTACGTCCTTGAGCACAATGTTTATGGTAACAGAGCCTAGGTCACCCTGAACTGGAACATGAGGCATGAAGAGGCCTTCCTCCTCAGAGGCCTCCTGCAGCCTTCCGCAGTTTGTTGTTCCTTGTTTATATGTTACTCATAACCAATTTATGTAGGCACTCTGTAAGTCCTTTCCCTTTTGCTGCTTTTCCCATCATAGGGCACGTTGGCCACTAGTGAGGTAGTTTCACAACACCACACTGGCAGGAGACAGCAAACAGACAAAAAGGAGGAATATACAAATTGAGAAAGCATACACACATGTGTAATCTCCAACTGTCCCTCCAAATACCTTCCTGTGGGAGGCTTTTAACCTCCTAGACAGAGTTACTGTGACCTCCTGTGTAGGGGAAGCAACATTCATGACCTGTTTTGTATTATGCTGAGTCAACTTCATTGCTGATCCACTCAGGACGGTTACAAGAAAATCTGGA